CTGATCACATCCTTCAATTGTATTTTCATCCTCAGACCAAAAGTTGCTCATCTGTCTGTCACCCTATTCATAGTATTGCAAATTTGTGAAAAAATATTTTTTTCTGTAAGAAAATTAGCCACATTAAAGGAGATATAGAAAAAAAATACTTTATCTTTCCCTCATTATGGGAAAATTCAGACTGACATGTGGCTCAGAAATTAAAACTTCACAATGGCAAAAAAAAACAATGATTTTTTATTAGAACAAATAAGTACAATACTGCAAATGAGTGAGTGAATGATAATAAATTGAGAATAGCAGTCACTGTTTAAAAAGCTTTATGACTGTTTTCACATAGTGTAGTCACCATTTTTTAAGTGTGTGGCCTTTTAAAGCCAGTTTTGTGTTTGCTTTTGTGTGCTTATCGAATTAATTTGTGGCTGAACTCTGGCCTGAGGACTGAGCGCGGGCTGCAGGATTTGCATGGCTGGTCTGTGTGTGAGGATCTGGCGGCCTGTCCGGGGTGGGCCGGCCTCTCGCCCGGGCTCCAGCTGCCCGACAACGCTGAATCGGATTAGGCGGTTTGAGAACACAGATGGATCGATAAATTCAACGCTGAAGAATCTCATTTCACATTTGACATGACACCCGTCTTGACAAATGACTGCCGAGTCCGTTCTCCACTGGCCTTTTCTGAGTAGGCATTAATCATCCCATTTTGGTGCTTGAATGCAGAGATGGAGACCGGCTGCACAGTTATCAGGGATTTGATCAGTTTGTTTTTACCCAAAACTGGGTGTTACAGTGTGAATGCTCCCAGCTTCCTTAAAACTCTCCTTTACTGGAAACAGCATCCACATTCTGTTGTTGGATTAGTCATAAACAGACAATTGTGATGTAGTTTGTTCTGTTCAGAGTGAAAACGATTAAAGACGGTGGAAGAAATATTCATCCGTTTTCTATACCGGGCGAGAGGTGGGGATGGACAGATCACCAGTCCGGAGGTCAGAACATACTGTAGCCCATGACTGCTTGACACACATACATATGAAGTCTTCCTGACTAACTTTGGGAATCTAAAGAGAGGAAATCCTGTGTGTGAATAACTCTGCTGTAATTTCCTCACATAAATGTTGTTTGTGACAATAAATCCCCATTAACGTCCTCCATGCAGCATCACTGTAGCAGAGTGTGACAGCCACAGATGCCCACCCACAGTAAGGCATTTTTTTGTTGTTTCTTTTGGTATAAACAAAGGGCGCAAATCACCTGACAGCATGTGTTTAGTCAACACTGGATATACTGGAATCCTGAGGGAAAACGGGAAACCTCACGGCTACGATAGCTCAGTACAAACGACATCCTCACGCTGTTCAAATGAAAATGGGCTACTGTAAATGATGGCAGCGCAGATGTGTGGAGGCTCTTTTGTTAACCCAGAAATACTCCTCCACGTATTAGACCTATTATCCTCTTTTCATTCAGAACCCCCCCCCCACCCATTGGATACTCTAATTGTGTCCTAATTGAACTGATGCAATGGAAGAATTTTCCTTCACATTAACCTGAATATGAATATCCTGATGGTATATATTGTACCTTTAGTGTGCACTCTATGAGAATACTCATTTAAACTGCCGTTTAAACTGCCATTAAATTATCTCACTGGAAAGATGGGCAAAGGCAGATTTATGATAACATAATTCTACTTCTAGAAAAAAAAATGACTGTGAAAATGTCACATCTTTATATATTAATGTTTCGTGTTATTTTGCTCATCCATAAATGTGTAGTGAGCATTTTGGCTGCAGTAGTTTCATTTATTGCGGGAAGACAGGAGCAGTGCTGCATGATTAATGATCAACAAATAACTTCACTGTACAGCCGAGGAAATGGCCCAAGATTAATTCATTTTAATATCCAGCTCAGATAATGGAACCTATCTACCATTGATCCGCTGTTGTTAAACTCGATTTTAGTTTTTTCTCGTCTCTTGTCAGATTGATCACGAACAGGACTATTTTTATGATTTATTGATTGTCTGATTGCTTCTATTTATTAAAAATATAAACAGCTTTTTGTGATTTTGACTGAAATGCGGTATTTTTTCTTTGAATGAGGTCTATGGTCCCTTCTTTTTGTAAAGTGCATCCATTTCTTCATCTGTCTTTTCACTTTTCTCACCCAGCGGCTTACCTGAAAAAAGATGGAAAAAATGGGTCTCTGTTACTCAAACGGTAACCAATGGAAACTCAACTCGAAAACAAATATAGAGTTTGCCCTTCAAAGTGGGCGCTATACCTTCAAACTGATTAGATTTGTGGATTCTGGATAAGGAAGGAGCTACCGAACAACCACAGTAGGAGCATCCATCTTTATTTTCATGGGTAAGATTGAACTCCAGAAACACCTCCTCTCCCGACACCTCTAACAGCCCAGAACACCTAACTTTGACCTAGTTGCTCTACTTGTTCAATTTGTCGTCTTGAATAAGCTCGATCTTAATGGTTATGCAGAGGTTTACGTTTGTGCTGAAGTTCAAATGTTGTTAATTACTTAAAAAACAGCATTTATATGGTTATGTGTCAAAAAGCTCATTATTATGATGGGATGTAGATGTAACAGAGTTCACTTTAAATGGGATTTTCTTTTAAAGTGGAAAGAAGAGGAAATATGATACATTAGAAGTCTGCATAGTTGAACTTTGAGTGTACCCAAAATAATCTCTATTTCCTACAGGCTTAAATCAGCCCTGGTGTAATCATTGTACAGCATATTGGACCATTTGTCAGCTGAAACAGTGAAGCCACTGGTGGAGATAAGCCACGTCCTCTGAGATCACTTTCTCCTTCCTAATGCAGACGCGTTACAAGTTCATTGAAAGTTCATTTTGGTCTCTTGGCAACAGGGTTTAAGGGGCAGAATGTCTTCCGCACGGCGCAGTCGCCACAAAAAAACGAAGCCTTCTTGGGCATTTTGGGTCTGAAAGCAGCTCTTACATGTGTGTCCTTCTTGAGCCTCCTGTGATGTGAGCAGTGTCAGCCTTTTTCTCATGTGAGTCATGGCCAAAGTCAGCTGCCTCACAGCCTTCTTTGAACACAGTGAGAGTGGCCACATGGGAGAGGAGTGCTTAGTGAGAATCCTGCCTTTCCAGATCTTCATCAGAAATCTGCATTCTTTCTTGTGTCGAGACATGTTGAACTTTTTTGTGGCGTTTGGTGATAACAAGCAATGGTGTACTTTTAACTTTTTAACAAAGTGTTTCTCAATGAAATAGCTGCCGTCAGATTCCTCAAAAAACAGAGATTACAGAGAATCAGAGATTACAGACGGAATACATTGATTACAGTGTAAGTACATTCAAATTCCTTATGTTTTAAGATTTATTTCAAAGGAAGCTGTTGAGGTGGAGTTATAGGATGCTCTTGTTTGAGTGTTGTCTGAAGCATACCATGATTTCCTCATCACAGCAGGGTTTCATGCTGAAAAAAACCCCAGCATGAGCAGGACCAGAATGCTGATGGTTTTTATTTTTTGCTTTTCAAGGGACCACCGCAGTAACTTCATCTTTGCGGGGGACTTCTTGCACCCCATTATTTTTTCTTGTTACCGTCAAATTTCCGACGGAAAGATGAAACATTTTCCTCCAGATGAAACACTCTTGAAATGAACCCAGACTTTTTTATTAGTGACATAAGGTTTTCTCAGCTGCTGTACCCGGTCTGTGTGTTTGTGTGCTTTCAGCCTGAGCGGAGTCCCCACTGACACCCCCCCCATCCAGCATCCCTGTGAGGCTCAATGTGGAAATTACAGCCTTATATGAGAGAGGTCTTCTATTCTCCCTGCGGCTCCTGGGATCCCTACTTATTCCCAGAAACTTCCTCCCTGGGAGAGGGCATGATTGGGTGTCATCTTCCTATGTGATCTCTGAGGAGGCTTGGCTGCCCGGTAATTGGCAAAAGGCTGGAGTATGTGCAAGTGGCTGTATCTCAGAGAGATAACATAGAATAAAAAGAGAATTTTTCAAGTGATTTACTGAAAAGTCATGAAAATTACTCATTTTTTTTAATTGCTGTTATTGACACAGTATTGACAAAAACAAAAAGAAAATGACAAAACAAAATGCAATCGTTCCGGATTATTCAAAATAATACCTGTACCTTTCTGTATGCTTAATCAGATTCAGGGTCACAGAGGGGCTGGAGCCTACCCGGATGTCAGTGGGTGAGTAGCAGGGAACACCCTGCTCTGGTTTCCAGACCATCACAAACAACAACACCACATAACAACTATTGACAGCCCCTGCGGTAGCTTCATATGATCAGGGAACGTTGTAAAATGTCTCTCCCTGCTGGGCCAAAATCATCACTGCAGTTCCATTTTCCCTCAAATTAACACTACATGTCCACAATGACTCGCATACTGATGTAATGATCTCAGGTTATAATCAACCCAAATGATCACTGATAGTTTTTGGCCTCAGTTGAAGAGAAATCATTTCTGATGCATTCAAGTTATTTTACTCTTATAATGAGTCTAAATTTGTGGGAGGAGTGAGCATGCATCTGTGTGTGTCATTGTCAGCTCCAGCCCCCCCCCTCCAGGAAGCAGCCTGCCTGGATTAAAATGAATTGATAGATGTCTGACAGCTTGATAGACATTTAGGCTAAAACTGGTTCATTTCTGAATGTTTTCTAGATATCCAGACGTGGTAAAAGTCACTAATAAAAAAAGCTGCATTATAGGCCATGTTGCCGATTTAAAGGTAAGGCTCATACTTTATTCAGGATTGTGGGTTTATATGTTTTCTTTTCATCTCACTGAAACTACAACAAACGTATGACACCAGATCTTGTTCCGTTTGTGGTGAGGCGAGTTAATCGTTTTCTGTATGAAACGTATGATCCTCCATTAGCCCACATTCTGCTCGTAATTGAAAGATTTTTCATATTTATCAGTTGGGCATCAAATGCAAATTAAGCAAAGCATCAATTTCAATAGCAGATCTTACCGACTAAGTTGTTTGTGTGATATCTGAAACACAGAACTCCTTGGGCTGAAAATAATTTAATTTAATAAGAGGGTGAATTAATGCCTGGTGCTCACTGGAATGGGCAAACTGGGTGATTTGATTTCACACACAACTCCTCTGGGGTGCTTCTGAAAATTATGCACACTGAAATGCAGTCAGGCTTTGAATAAGGTATCAAATAGTCTAGATATATTTAACAAGCATTTTTAAAACCATGTTTTAGCAGTCAAAGAGCCTCACTAGCTTGCATATTTTCTTTTATATTTTCCCAATGCATTGCAAGTTTGAGCTCTGCATACTAGTGCCTTTAATATTTGCAGTTTGCAGACAACTTTTTTAAATGTGCTGTTTTGCATATAGAAAGTTTGGTTAGGTCACTCGTTTACAAAAATAAATAAAAAAAACATCTGTTTCCCCATTAGGGGTTATGTACTTTTGAAATAACCATTTAAGGTATTTATTGCATTTAGAAAACAGAAAGTACTTCCAAAGAAAGGTGATGTGAAAGAGGACATTTGATGTGTTATTATGGTGGCATTATAATGATCACAAGCACTGGATAAATAACAAGATAAATAATCTTTATTTCCATGTCTCAGTTGTTTATAAAATTATGTGTCCACAATTAATATTAACAAGGCAACACAGAGAATCCTTTTTATTTCTCAGAGGAGGAACCCAGGCTCTGGAGACAGAGGAAGGTGACCACTGCTCAGATGTAATCAAACCTCATTTCTCCTTTACTGCTAGTTGGGGTTGGCATTCTCCTACAGATCGAAGAGGCTTTTAAGTACCATGCTGGGACATCCCAAAGATCAGACCCAAAGGGACTGACATAGGTCTCTAGAGCCTGCATTCCCACCAAGCCCTTCAAACCACAGTCATAAAACTTCATAACCCAAGACCCATTGCTTCTCATCACTCAGTGTAAACCAAACAGTTCATTCACAATTTTTTGAACATCCTCACACTAAAGAGCTATCGCTGAAATGATCCGCGTCATTGCCACTAATTAACGTAAGCATTACTCTCTACCTTATACACAATAACTTTGTTTTTCTAATTTTCCCAGTAAAAGACGCTAAATCCCGGCAACTGTAAAAACCAAACAGAAACAATGAAGAAACGACCTTGTATTGTACACAAACACACACAAAGAAACAGGAAATAAACACACAAAAAAAGAAAGAAAAAAAGACATCCTTGGTTACAATGTGCTCAAAAACAAAAGAAAAAAAAAAAGATTTCTCACAAGTCTGCTAGGTGAATATGAATTTTAAAAAAAAATTAAATATTACATACTGTATAGGTTATTATTACAGTAACAAGGTTCCATGCGATCATATCCTCATCGTCCGAGTTGAGGATTCAGTAGTAAATAACAAGGCTATACAGAGCTATAGTGCATGGTGGCCAGAGGGCCAGCATGTTACAGAGCCATGGAGACCCGGGAGAGGGACAGGGTCCACTGGTCGGGACAGAGGTGCCACATTGTCATGACGTATCGAGGAAAGCACTGGATGTAACATCTGATTTCATAAAGCCTGTGTTCACAAAAGAGAATTCAGCTTCCGCTCTGAAATGAAAGGAACAGTCTCTCTTTGGACCGATGTCCTGATGATGCGTCTTAATTAACTTTAAAGTATTCGTCTCCACTGCTTGCAGCACTACTTAATGTATGACGTTGATTTACAATCGTGCTTTAGGAAGAATGAGCCCAGAGAGAGTGTGTGAAAGTGGGAACATCTGGGAACCGTGTCGAGCCATGCAAGTGTGGCTAGTTATCCCCCTGGAGTAACAAACAAAAAACACCACCAAGCAGCAGAACAGATGTCTGCAGACTGAACAGTAGTAAAATGACTGCAATTACGTTTAAGGATGGATTTTTCCTCCAATTCTAAAGGCTGCCATCCATCGCGCTGAAAATGAGTTCTTGTTACAATTGGGTGTGGAAGCAGGAAGAAGGAGAAAGCACAATGACCTGCACACTGTGTCAATACCCTCCAAGACAGATTTATCAAAAGGATACAGTTGCCTTGAATGAGTGCAACTGTCAAAACTTTTCAAAAGACTGTCCATAAAATGGTTTGTCCAAAAATCAGATGAAAAAAAAAAAAAGAAAATCAGGAAATTTCTTAATTGCCACTTTAAATTTACCCCAAAATAATCCTGTAGCAATAATGTAATATCAAGAAAACTAGTCAAATCTGGGAGCATTAATCCAACAGGTTTTTGCATTTGTTTAATAATTTTATGTCTAAAAGCGCTCTGATCAAAACTGAGAATCAACCAACAGTGTGCAGATACCCGTTTTTGATCCAGCACCTCAAATTTATTCTCCCAATGAGCGCTCTCCACCATTCGAACAACATGTGGAAGCAACAAGAGGGCAAAAAAACACAGCTGAGCCACTCCACAGAGCACCAGGGCCCAACACAATCCCCCCCAAAAAAGTAGGACTTAAAAGACACAATCCGAACCCCCACGGGTTTATTCAGTCAAATACATTATTATTCAGTCGTTATAAAACATACCCAAAGTAAATGGCTAAAGCACAGAGCAAGAGGAGCTGAGGAAGCAGCACACAGGAAGCAAAGGGGGTGGACACGATTCACTCCATCTACGCTGGGGCACGCATGAAACTGGCTGCCATGGATAAAAAGCTGCTTTCAGGTGAGCAGCGACACACCGATTATTAGGACCACATCTTCAGTGTGGGGGTGCAGTGGGTTTTATAAGGCATGAACGCCAACTGTGCTTCATAAACCAATGATCCGAGACCAGATGAGGCCGAGACACTCAACGGATTTAGTTCCTGTTCTTAAACTACATTGTGTGTTCCATTCAGAAGCTGAGAAGAAGTCAGATTTGAACAATGTATTCAAGTAAGGCTATAGGCACACATACACACACACATTAGAGCTAAAAGATGAACGGATTAATGATGAGACGCCCGCTCTGTACAAAATGTCACAAAGCATTATGTTGTTCAGATCCACCTTTTATTGACACATTAAACGGTTTGCATTGGTGATGATTAATCCTGACGTGGATCTGTTTTTTTAATTTAATTTCTTTTATGTTTTTCTTTTTTCACCAGAGTGTGAGCTGACCTCAGCTCCTCGAATTAAGAGCCAAAGGAAGCGAAGCAGCCTAAGCTATTAACACCTTCAGCTAAAGCGCCCGACGGCGCCATGACCCCCGGACCCCCGGCTGCCCCCTCGGAACAGAGCGAGAGAAAGAGAGATGGAGAGGGAGTGAGACAGGCAAAAGGAAGTTGTTGTTTTTTTTCTTTTTGGATGAGAGCAAATGCAAAGGGTGATGACAAACTACCCGGAGAATGAAATGCGCTGTGCTGATGCTCTTTCATGCAAGCGCGTTCATCGGTTTCGTTTCCACGGCCGCTTCCTCTCAATCTCTCTTTGGCCTCTGAGCGGATTTGAACCCCAGCCCTCCGCCACCCACCCAGTACTGTCGTTCTCCTCCTCTCCCTCTCCTTCCCTCTCACCAAAAGTCCAGTTGCGCACCACTGTGTTCTGTACAGTCATAAGGAGCAAATGAGCAGAGAAATAAAAAAAAAAAATAAAAAAAAGAAAATGAAATGAAATGAAAAAAAAAAAAGGTGCAGGGCACTTTAATCCTTTTTTTCTGCAGTCGTTTCTCACTCACACAGCTATGAAGGAGGTTCTGCGCTGGCCTCGCACATGCCCGCTGCTCATCTACTTTCACATGTGTACAAAGCCATGCACGCAGGAACACAAATGCTCTCTTTTCTTGCAAGCCCTGCTCATTTCTAGTGGTGGTTTGTTGGACATGCAGGGTTGGGGAACGAAGGCAGGGGAAAAGGTTCCAAGATTTGAAAGGGAAGAGGGTAGCCGTGTGTGTCTAACTATGCGAGTGTGTTGATGGAGAGATCTTAGTTCAGCTGCCATCTCCTCCGATATTTCTTCTCCTCATCACCTGTATAGGATAGAAAAAAAAGAGACACTGTTTAGGCTTCGAAGTAACTATTTGTTTAGTTTATAGCAGTCAGGATTATCAGGAGGAGCAGAAAGCACAAAGCTGGAGTACCTTGTCACAGAAGGTGAGATAGTAAGAATTTATGCTGATTTGGAAATGCAGGAGATAAGAGCAAGAAAAAAAAAGCATCAGTAGGCATGAAGCGTATGAGAAAAAATAAATCTCCATAAAAATGGAGCAGGGATTCTTTATAAACCTTCTAGATGGTTCCTGGAGACGTATTTCAGTGCTTCATCCAGGAGGATGACCGGGATGGAAATCTTGAAGACCACAATCCACTGGGACCAGTGCAAAGGGGTCACCTGGAAGATGAGCTGAGAGAGACAGAAAAAGACTGTCAAGAGACTTTTCTTCTGATTTTACACGACCGCAGACCAATTCTCCACCCAAATCCAGTGTGAAGAGATGAGCCTCCACAGCAAACCTGACATTTGAGGAGAGCCACAAGTTTGCAGTAGGATTTAAGTCAGAACAGGAAGGTGGCCAAGCCAGCATTCAGTCATCTTAGAGATCTTTGTTGGTTTGCCAAATATCCCTCCTCAACCTTCTGCTGCCTAAAGTCTATAATTAATCCAGCTAAGGCTCATCTATTCTTTCCATCAAGAGCCACTCTCACCATCACAAAGGCTTTGAAAACCTGTCAGGCCTTTCCTAAACAGATTCTGACATTTCAACCTGTGAAGCTCATCAAGTGTTACTAAGAATAGACGCGCAAATACACAGCAAAGTCAAAGTTGAGTGCTTTCAGTTATTTAATTTAGAACAAATATACAATTTTGGTATATGGTGGTTTAACATAAATGTGCATTTGACTCATTTTGAGGCACTGACCTTAATCATGCACATTCCCAGAACTAAGGCTGCCACTGTTGGGCTCAAAGCTTGAGATTCCACAGTTTAAAACTGGTTTCAAGGCTAGCGCTGCTGCCTTTTTTTATATAAAACAACTAGTTGACGTAACATTTTTAACTGAACAAAAAAATCTACAAAATAGGGGGAACAAAAGGGGCCAGCAGTCAGTAGGACTGTTTCACATGATGTCGTCACTGTAAGATGGTAAAGTGACAGGACAGGAATATCCAGCTGAGGCTCGGAGTGTCCCGAAGACTTACCGGCAGAGGCTCAACGTAGAGTATTAGAAAGTGGAGGGAGAGGGAGAGGATGATTGCTCCCAGCAGCCAAATATTGACCCAGGGAGGCATCCTCACCAGGGACTGGTTCTCAGACAAACTGGGGAGGGAGGGGTTTTAAGAGATGAAGACATGCTGAATGACAAGAGGGAGTATGGTGGTGGTCCAGCTACACAGGCAAAGGTTTAGCATGCTATAAATGAGCATTAGACTTCCTCATGCGGATATGTTAGTGTTAGGCAACGGTCTGAATTTCTCCACAGAAAAAAACTAAACAAAAAGAAAACATGGGCAGATTTGCCTTTTTTTAAAACTGCTAATTCTACTTTGTGTCTGCCTTCCATTTCTTAAGAGGTGTGGCTACTCATGGTCCCTCTGCCCGTTTTAAAACTAGAGACCTCCCTGCAGTGAAGAGAACTGATGGTTTTGTTTTTTCTGGCACAGTTCCACAGTTTTCTCACAAAGAGCCTGTTGTTTTGCTGTATGACAGCGTCTCTTCCTTTTAATAACTACCCGACGGCCCTGACATTTAAGGGTTGTTTACTCAGATGTGACAGTAGAGGATGACTGACCTGTTGAGCGCATTAAACATTTCAATAGTGACCAGCACTGACAGCGCCATGGTTGTGGGGTAGCGGGATTCGAACACCTCACAGTCTATTCCCTGGAACATCGGGTTGTCCTCCGTGCACTGCATGAAGTGTCGCTGGAACAGAGGCACAGATGGAAGTTAGCTCGCCCTGTCGCTCCCCCGTGAGAAATGAGCCTCATCGGACCTGATGGGGGAACAGCTGCACAACCCTGGCTTCTCCCCAGCTCTGCCTCATGGGTCTAACTTTCCTTTTTCTATTTCTGCTCACTGCTGGGATTCCCAAACGTTTTCATGTCCAACAGACAGTTAAGTAAAGAAGGTAAAGAGGAGGAAAAATAAATATTGTCAGAGTATCCTCTCCTAGGACGTGAAGGGCTAACAGAAGGATGTTTGGTCACTCACCAGCTGATTGAAAGACACCTGTGGGCCATCCTCATCAAACAGGTACCACCATGTGGCTGCGCTCACTGTTCCGAGGCCCACATATCCTACAAGAAAACCAATCCGACGTGTTTATACCATAGAGATCCTTTCATATATTCTGATACCCGTCAGGAAAACAGAACTAACTACAACTGGACAAACAGATGCACAAAAACGTGAAGCTTGAAAATGCTATGCCAATGTGATTTGATACGTTAAACAAATGTTAAAAAAGAATAACTCAGCTTATCTGGAGATCAAGTTATAATCATGCAAAATTGTTCTTACTATTACTTATTTGCATGAACCTATCCTTGTTTTGTCAATGCAACAGCCACAAGGAAATAGGCTGCAAAATAGCTGGAATTTCCTTTATTTTTATTTGATCTTATCCCTCAGTCTGCTGTTGCAGCTAAAGTCAGAAAAGTAGAAATAAGCAATGCCAGTATTTTTCCAGCAATTTCCTTCCCTTATAAAATGTTTTTATTTTTATTTTTTTTATTTTTACATTAGCCTGTTGCACTTCTAACCAGACATCCGAGCTGTAATCGTGTTAATCATGATGGGGTGCCAGACGCAAATGCTACCTCCAATGGCTAAATATCTGAAGAAGAGCCAGCCAGAGATGAGCGGCTCCTTTGGGTTGCGGGGTGGTTTGTCCATGATGTCCAGGTCTGGAGGGTTAAAGCCCAAAGCGGTGGCAGGAAGTCCGTCAGTCACTAAATTGACCCACAGCAGCTGCACTGGAATCAGCGCCTCGGGGAGACCCAGGATGGCTGTCAGGAAGATGCTGCGGACAGAGAGCAGAGATCAGCCGGGGACGCCAGGCTGACGGGGAAAAACGCCGCCGCCTCGGGCCGGCTCTGCCTCACCAGACCACTTCTCCCACGTTGGAGGAAATGAGGTATCTAATGAACTGCTTCATGTTGTTGTAGATGGCCCTGCCCTCCTCCACAGCTGCTACGATGGTGGAGAAGTTATCATCGGACAGCACCATCTCAGACGCCGACTTGGCCACGGCCGTGCCAGAACCCATGGCGATGCCGATTTCTGCTTTTTTCAAAGCCGGAGCATCGTTCACTCCATCTCCTGTCTGTGAGATAGTAAGTATACAAAGTGTATGTTAAAAAAAATAAAGAGATTCATCTTTTTATAGTTACTGCCCTGAAATCCAGCCATTAGGATACCAATTCCTACACAAAAAGTATTTTCAAATAACAGTAAGATGTTCAGGATTAGCATGTTAGATCTTTCTTTCAGTTTTATGCCAGTTTAACACAGTAATGACATTGGAAAGGGAACTTCTATCTCACCACAGGGTAGTTTTCAGATCTGGGCAGGATATAACAGAAAACTTAAGAGTTATCCTTTTGTCTTTGCAGGCTCTGAGGCAGCTTCAGACTGCTGTGAAAGGTGGAAGGAGTCTGACAGGCAAATTGTGGTATTATTGTCTCATTCCCTCCTCCTCCATCCCCCCCTCCCACCAGATCCAACACAACCCCTCTTTTGAGACGCGTGTCAGATAAGACAGAGCAGACCAGAGATGACAGCGTCTGAGAGAGCAGCCTCAGAGACCTGAAACGCGTCAAGCCTCACTGCCCTCTTCTCATGAAATCTTATTCAATGACAAACCTGCAGGATGGCGAGAGAACGCATTCCTGGCCTGATTTTAAATTATTTTGCATGTAAATATCAAGTGAAGGGACCTGCAGAAAACCCTGCTGGGTCGAGGGGGGGGGTTCCTCTATTGTCCTCACCATGGCAGTGATCTCATCAAAAGACTGAAGGTATCCGACAATCTTGGACTTGTGGGCCGGCTCGACACGGGCGAAGCATCTGGCCAGTTTGACCGCCTCTCTCTGAGCCTCTTGGGGGAGGTCGTCGAACTCGCGGCCCGTGTAGGCCTTTCCCGTCACTTCCTCATCCTCCCCGAAGATGCCGATGCGCCTGCAGATGGCCACCGCGGTGCCTTTATTATCACCAGTGATCATGATGACCCGGATGCCGGCCTCGTTGCAGAGTTTGATTGAGCCGATCACCTCCTTCCGGGGCGGGTCGAGCATGCCCACACATCCAACAAAAGTAAGTCCCATCTGAAAAGAAAACAGAGCCCTCACAGGATCCTGTCTGTAACACAACCTCATTCAAAGGTCAGTCCCCAATTTAAATCTTTATTAGCAAAACATGGATCACTTGCTTACTAAGCAAATATTCATTCAAATCAACTTCATGGATTAAAAAAAAGAAAGAATAAATAGCTAGCCTAATACTGTGAAAAGCTGGTATGGAGGCTCCTAATAATGATAGAAAATGATAAAAGTGTTTCCTTAAATGCTGAAAGTGGGAGTAAAAGAGGGGGGAAAAAAGCGTGAATCCTTATGCTTGACATGGAAGCCCTTTCCAACTCTTCACCGTACCTCATATTCTGCAAACTTGCTGGCATTCTCCAGGTCCATGTCCTCTTTGCGTGGCGGGCTGTCTTGAGTGGCCAGAGCCAGGCAGCGCAGGGTGTCCCTGCCGGTCCCCCACTCCCTGATCTGACACAGCAGTTGGTCGCGCAGGGCGGGTGTCAGCGGCACCTTTCCAGTTCCCACCCGCAAGGACTGACACCTCTCGATCACACTCTCCGGGGCCCCCTATAGGCATGCGACGTTACGGACAAACGGGAATAAAAGGACTGGTCAAGACTGGAGCTACAAAGACAGTGAGGGGAAACGGATGGAACGAGTAAGTATTCACACCTTTGGTCGTTAAACCCTTAACTGGTGTGACCTACTTCAACCATTTATTTCTGGAATGATTCTAGATCTTCTCTGAATTCCAGCTGGATATTGTACTATTCAGCCATACCTTGACGAACATCTTGCTCTGGGAGCCCTGTTTGACCGGAGTGCAGTAGACGGACATGGACTTGCGGTCACGAGAGAACTCCAGAGTGAACTCCTTCTTCATCAGCTGTCTGATCACCTGATGGATGGACAGGAGGAACCGACCAATTAGAAATGGCAGAACAGGAAAGACACAAAGAGTGAGCTAGGGAGCTACGTGGACATGTGTTAATGGCTGACTGAGAGGTTAAACCAGCTACTGACAGCTGAGGGGAAACACTTTAGAGCCGCCTATCTACCACCGTTATCTGTCTATAGGATCTAATCTCCTTCCACCAGTAGGGGTCCCTCTAACTCCTGTCCTGATGCTATGCATGCACGGAGAAAGGCTGTGAAGTGAAACAGATCATCTTTGTCATAATCAGTTATTGTTTAAGGGTGAACATGGACCCTATCAAATAGATTGAGGGAACCGTCGCTGTGATAATCCTCTTCGTTCTATCAGACAACGAGAGCACTGGGAGCTTCATCAGAGCATTTTCTGCCCATTTGTCCTGCAGATTTCTGGCTCTGTGCTGCCAGCAGCTTCTTGGAAAGTTATGGCTATCTCATTTAAAATGTGCTAAAGATGCGTGTTACCGTGAGGAGATCTTTAGCATTGCAGCCGACTTATTTGGAGGTTTTAAATTTCATGAAAATATTCCTAAAGAAAAAAAAATGCATCTCATTTGCTATCCTTCAGACAAGACAAGTTTCTCCTATTGCCAGCAGCACCAAAATGAGAGGAACTGGGATTTGAATGACCTTTATTGACACAGCAGTGGAAAAGCTAAAAGCTGGAGTGAATGACAAGCTCCTCATCACTGCAGGACACACAGCAGCTTAGCAAACCCCTGCTCACAAACTCCCATTTGACTCCAGCGCATCTCATTTAGCTGAAAACTGATCGCGACATGAAGACAGTTACAGTGTTTATCCGATATCTTTATGAGGGCTGTCAGAAACAAACAATGACAGGTTTACACCCTCAAGGCAAACATGGGTGTGAGGCTGACCACGTTTTATTAAGACGTCCTTGTGCCTGACAACAAAGCCTGACATGTTGACTTAGTGTTAGTTAGTTTGGATTAAACTCTACCCATCTGTAAAGCGCGATTTCACACTTGTGTACCATTTAAACAGAACAAGTGGAGTATGCTACTTCCCCCGTAAACATAGGAAGGACACTGTGATGTAATGAGCAGAGTAATTACAGTCTCGGTGGCATATTTATGAAAAAGACTGCAGCCTATAAGCCAGGAGTGGGAACAAACAGTGTGCACATTGTATACTTTAAACTGGATATAGAAGAGCAATACAGAGCCTTTTATAGAGACCATTGATTGAACATTTAGACACTTGAGTCGGTTTATTATTATAACATCCCTTTTGGTCCAAAATATACAAATGCATGCAGTGAGGCCCTTTACAAACTAACCCAATAATCAACCAAGTGGGAAGTACTTGTGCTGTAGGTATGGCGTTTTATTCTCTGTACTGTGTGAATTTAAAATACAAGCATGCTGATACCTGATTAGATAACAGTGAGCAAATTATGTAAACCGAGCTGTAAGGAGGCTCCTCAGTTTGCACAGAGCCAACGAATTCTCAAGAACACGTGTACAGTTTAGCATCTTTGCACTGAGTGCTCGTACCGAGTTGCAGGCTCCGGCGCGTTCCACCTTGGTGAGCGCAGACAGGTCCGTCTTGAAGACATTCATCTTTTCCACCAGAGTGGTGAGAGCCGTTTCTGTGGCCTCGCCCACCTTCTCATAAACCCCTTTGGCCTGCAAGAGCACAGGAAATGATGAAAACTTAAAAATCCCAGCCACCGAGATAAGATCCCTGTACAATGGCAGCGAGCACCTTCATAAATGTGCATATGTGCTCTGAGCAGCTCTGCCCGTCGCTGACCACCATTACCAACATAAACTTGATATCACACAGACAAAGTGTTGCACTCCTGCAAGCCGAGACGTGGCGTGGCTGAGATGAGACAGTAATGGTATACCACACATCATTTGTTTGTGTGACCAGCCATAAGAAGGCAATAAAGCACCTCATCCTGCTCCAATATTCTCATCCTCTCTGTATGAGGTGAGCCCGTTCATCTCACACTCAAGACTTTTACAAGAAAAAAAATAATAAAAAGAAAGAAATCACCTGGTGGCAAAACAGCCATTTACGAGAGAAAGAACTGATATTCTTGAGAGGATACATGGGAGCTGAGAAGTGCTTTATCTGTAGCTGCTCTACTCGGCATGGTTACCATGATAACATGGCGATGACAAAGAGGTGAGAAAAGCAATCCAAACCAGAGAAAGGATAATACATCAGAGTAAAATTAGCTCAGCCGAAGAAGAGAAGGCTGCATGTGTGTGATCAAGTGGGGTCTTTGATTGGATTCTACAGCCACTACTGTCACACAACGGAAACAGAAAGTTCCCTCTCTCTCTTTAAGGTTTAACATTTCAAAACATACAGTAAAAAAAAAAAAAAAAGATCAGATCTGAGCCATTTCTTCAGTGTAAACAGATACAGCATACCTTTATCTTTTTAAAAATAATGAAGCAACAAATACTGAGATAGTTGCTGATGTCTTTCCTCCTTGACAGTGAGAAAACTGAAAACAAAAAACTCTGCTTTTACCGAGGGGCTCACACTAACTGACCTTCACAGCCAGGAAAGTCTGTAGGTAGCAGCTGGCTTCCATTCAACTCACATTATTTTGAGTTTTTCCACACACAGCATCTTCATTATGAATGAGTTGTTGTATGAAGAATGTATCAAAGTCACTATGAGGGTACGTTTTTTTAGTACAGGAAACTCTAATTACTGACCATCTACTAATTACAGATACATTTTGCATGTGAAAAAAAAAAAAAAAAAAAGATTGTGTGCGTTGTGAATGACCTCATTGTAGTCCAGTGAAGAGTCGTTGCACATGGAGCACACAGTGGCCAATTCCACAAGTCCATCGTAGTCTCCACACTGGATGGGCTTGTTTCCTTTAAGTCTGGAAGAAAAACAGACACACATCCGCAGGCATCACTCACAACAGCGAAACGCAAGAGCAAGCACTCCATGCTATGCTTAACCTCAGACACAGACAGCTTTGGAATATAAATGGCTGGGAATGACATCCAGCTGTTCAGTATTCCAAAGTTAGCCGAAGAAAATGTGGCTGTTCGGTAGTAAACAGAGAATCTGTGTTTGTGTGTGCGCCTGCTTCTGACAAGCAGCACTGCCTGCATGACAACCAGGATCCCTTCCCTGTTGAGACTGCAGCCGTTGCTAGCCAAGCTCCCACACAGTTACCCACACTCTGCTGTTATGAAATCCACCGGTTCGCGTGGAGTCAAAATGCTGTATGCATTAAGGAGGAAAATAAACAGTATGCACGCACCATGGACCTTTTAAAATCCCTATTGCGTCTAATGGACAACAGCCTACCTGTATGCCTGCCTAGAAACAAATTCACTCGGATGGAAAAAAAAATACACAGAAGCTTACTCACCAAGTAAAAAAGGACAACAGATTAGCTGAGTGATGGGAAAACATATCAAAGGGCCACACAGAATATTTTCCTGTTAATTTAGCCTCTTGTTAACGAAGTGAACAGCTTTCGTCTCGGTGACACTCACATTTGTCCCTCTGGAGCATACGTGGACCCAGTTATTGAGAACTCATGAAGGGTGCAGCTCGACCCCTCGACTTTGTCTGTTACGAACATCTGGAGAGGAGAAGAAGCAAACACAAACAGAGCAGATGAGTGAACTAATTAGCCAGATCTGTGCTTGATCCCAGTGTGCTGCTGCTAAAGACTGCTTTTAGAAAGGTCAAGGAGTCAAAATGTTCAACTCTGAACCATCTGTCTGGAGCCATACTTTTAGAAGTTAATAACAGTAATTGGACTTATTAGCATAGCATAGTTTAACCATGAGGTAGTTATTTTGTACAAAACAACTCTCATCTTTATACATATTACATTTGGAGGGCTGTGCAATAATAAAACTTATAATTTGTCCGTCGTATGTTAAGGACTTTAATTAGATAACTGATAGAGGATGTATACAAACTAATTTTACTGATTAAAAAAGTGGAAATCTAAAATCATATACAGTATATCTGGGGTTAAATGCTGGCGTGAGGATGTGAACAACATAAATGATTTATAGCTACAGATGTGTGAATGCAAGTTTGAATGAATGGCGTGAATACAACTTTCCAGCCTGAAAACAGATCATGTTCCAGCAAAATAAGCCCCCGTTGAATGAATTTCACTTTGTGCAGCAATTACAGCGCTATTGAGCTTTTTAGCGTTTCCAAACCTGCGAGCATGATTGGGTATGGAGTGCTCACAAGTCTGCGTGTACGGCTTCATCAGTCACTCAAACTGCCAAACATGCAGCAGTCAGCTGCTGGGAAACAAGGCAGTGGGCGGAGGAAAAAAAGAGCTGAAATCCCACAGCAGTCTGACGATCAGCTCTGCTGGCACAGCTTTTTATGAAAAATTCCCCAAAAGAAACCTGGTTTGTGATGCACTGGCAATACAAATGTGTCAAGACGACAAGAAGGAGACGCAGCAGCTGGTGCTTTACAGGAGCTGTTATCCCTTAAAATCAGGACTAATTGTACCTTTTAGCCTAGAATTAATTATTTCCTAACAACTTTCTGTAAAGGCTTACACCATTTAGACAAAAAAATGCGGTCCGGACAAGACGAAACAACTCTAGACATCAAGAAATCCAAGCCTGTAATTAGGAGGTGCATGACTGGAGGAGCACACAACTTTAGAATTGTAATTCTAATTTCTTTGTTTCATTGCAATATGAAATGTCAAATCACACCCTAATTGAGGAACTGAGGGACAATATATAGCTGAGAATATGCATGCACACAGACTAAGAGTAGGCCTGACACAAAGTGGGACGTCAGGCCGCGACAGCCAACAGTTTAAAAAAAAGAAAACAACACTGCTATTTGGTTATTTTTCTTCCATATCAACGAACGTCAAACGCCTGCTGAGCGTTTGATCCAACAAAGCTTTCTGTAACAATTCAGGAATGGCCTCCCCGGGGACGGAAAAACGTCCACTCGAGCACAAAACAGCGCTGCTAGCAACAATATAAGATTGTTTGTTTATCCGTGGTAAGTTTTTCCTCACTATCTGAGCCACTCGGGTCTCCACGGAAACATGGCCACAGTGGAAGCCATGTTGCTCTGCAGTGGTGGCAGGGGTTGTTTTTTCCTACTCACTTCCTCTGAGGTTATGTGGGGATGCGTGGTGAGTAACCCTTTTACAGTATCTGCATCTGCGCTGGCTTTCTCTGTGTGTGTGTGCATGTGTCCACGAGCGAGGGAAAAGGGAAGGACGGTGTCAGGGCACAGAGGGGAATCCCTGGAAATCCTGTGAATGAAGGGGGGGGGATGTCTCTGAAATATCGTCAGGGCAAATACCTGGGACCAGTCCAGAGACAGGGAGAGACAAGTACAAGCATGAAAACACAGCAGACTCCAACCCCAGGATGAACGCCAGGCTACTAAAGCAGAATTAGCAGGGCACGGACTATCTTCAGGAAACACCCCGCCGAAAAAAACAACTGCAAAGGTCAATCATTTACCCGCCTCGCTCTGTCTCAGTCTTTTTTTGGTCTGTGAGGGATTGGGAGTTGTGGTAAGATCCTCCCACTTCAGGGAACTCCCTGCTGCTACGCATTAATCACATAAAGGCTCCACGTCATCGTCGGGAGAAGCCGGCATAGACAGATGTTACTGAGCAGAAAACACAGAGCCGCTCGCTCATTCCATTTAGAAAAAGAGACAGCATCTCATAATCCTGTTAGGAACTATAAAGAAGCATCTTTTGGAGGGGTGTGAGAGGGATAAAATATCCTCACACAGCGGTTAGATTCGACTTTCCAACTAAAGATCATGGAGCACTCCAGTCGATTCCTATTCCTAATGTCTTTTTAAGCCTGTTACCCATCATTTTCCACAGACGCTCGCTATCTTTGCCTTTATCAGCCTTATTAAATGGGACATTTTCAGCAGGATCATTTAGATTACATCTGTAGTCCTGCATGTTTTGGTGACCGGTCGTCCACAGTTTCTTTTTGCCCTGCAGGTCTTACCAATTAAAAAGAAAGGAGAGGGCTGAAAGCTTTTCTGAAAACATTTCAGTGAGCCTGATCTTCAGATTACCAGTCACTGCATGTCGAGCTGATATATCAGCAGAGAAACGGGTGCACATCAGTTCTCCTGACCTTAGTACAAAATCCCTCAGCAGAGGATCCCAGAATGTTGTTGGTGGACAGCATAATCTACTTGGGGTTTTTTGGGTTATACAAATGCCAGTGAAGACGACCCTGCTTGCACAATCTTCCCTGTAGCGCTCCATCCATCCATCCATCCATTAGCAATACTGCTTATTCCCTCATGGGGTCGCGGGGGGAACCGGAGCCTATCCCAGTGGTCAACGGGCGAGAGGCAGGGTACACCCTGGACAGTCCGCCAGTCCATCACAGGGCCACACAGAGACACACAAGGACAAACAACCACACACACTCACATTCACTCCTAAGGGCAATTTCCCCAATCTCCAATCAGCCTAACATGCAGGTTTTTGGACGGTGGGAGGAAGCCGGAGAACCCGGAGAGAACCCACGCAGACACAGGGAGAACATGCAAACTCCACCCAGAAAGGTCCTGGTTCCCCCGGGATTCGAACCCAGAACCCTCTTGCTGGGAGGCGACAGTGCTAACCACCGCACCACCGTGCCGCCCCCTGTAGCGCTCCTAGTTTCCAAAATGCAGGCGGTAAAAATAAAAAGACAAGCAAAAAAATTCCAACAAAGCAGTCGGGAGCAGCGATTGAAATAATCATGGCAACCGTGAGCCCGACATAAGGCCGGTGTCACAGAGGTGTGAGGTGAGCTGCAGCATGGAGGCGCAAGAGGCGTAAACAGAGAGCGCGGTGTGGGCAAACCTCCTAAGAAGAGCCAAAACAAACAGCAGTGCTGGCATTTACCCTGCGCTTTGAGTAAAATCACTTAGCAAGCAACACACAAACGCGGACGGACGAAGAAAAGGGTGAGGCATTAAAATAGTTCCATTGGACCTTTTAGTGTTTGTTTTCTTCTGTAACTTTATATGGACCCTTGACTCATGAAACAAAGGCAGCGTGACATTTTGGAAACCTCCACTGTGCATGTGCGAGCGCTGATTGGGTGATAGCGTTTCCATAGTGGTACTACGGGTCCTGCTTGGTCTTGCCAGCTTATATTGCGCCACCGAAAGAAAACCTGGAAAGTGGAGATAAACACTAGAGCAACGCAGATTTTTCCAGCCTTCTTTCCTGAATGAACGGTAAACTGAAAAGACTAGCATTTATTAAAAAAAAAATACAAAAACTGTCTGAGAATTCACCTAAATCTTCAGATGCCCAGAGGCGCTTTGGGAGCTGCCGGTCACGATGAGGGGTAAAAAAACTAAGGACTCCAGGCATCTGAGGCCAGATGGGATTTGGTTTTAAACGCTTGCTGGAATAGAACTTATAAAGCCCACTCACTCTGCACACAGACATCTGGTTGGTGGTGAGGGTGCCCGTCTTATCGGAGCAGATAACCGAGGTGCAGCCCAGCGTCTCCACGGAGGGGAGGCTGCGCACTATGGCGTTCTTCTTGGCCATGCGGCGCGTGCCCAGGGCCAGGCAGGTGGTGATGACGGCGGGCAGGCCCTCGGGAATGGCCGCCACGGCCAGGGCCACGGCGATCTTAAAGTAGTAGATGGCCCCCTTGACCCAGGAGCCGCCGTGGACCGGGTCGCCGAAGTGGCCGATGTTGATGACCCACACAGCCACGCAGATCAGGGAGATGACCTTTGACAGCTGCTGGCCGAACTCGTCCAGCTTCTGCTGCAGCGGAGTCTTCTCCTGCTCCGTCGCCGCCATCTGGTTGCGGATCTTACCGATCTCCGTGGTCACGCCCGTAGCGACGACCACCCCTATGGCCCGACCGGCTGCTATGTTGGTGCCCTGGGGGAAAGCGGAGGGCCAAAAATGAGCAAGGGGAAGTGGAAAAGAACTTCCCTAAACACATCAGTCCCTTCAGAACTTCAGGGACTGCATCAAACACAACCAAATGTCAGGATGCTGAGCGTCGTCTGCAATAACATCAAGCGCTGACTTAAAGGCCGAAGCTAAGCTCAGCTGGCTGCGGGGGGGGGGCGCACGTACAGAAAACAGCATGTTCTTTTTGTCTTGGTTGACAGCTCTGGGGTCAGGAACTGGGTCGGTGTGTTTGATGACCGAAACAGACTCCCCTAAAGAGAAGAAAACAGATGATCAGGACAATTATCTACTGGACAACGCATTTAGCTTTAAGTAAATCCATGGTGCTACAGTCACATCCTAAAACCCCAAAGAATCCCGAACAGAGAACATCTCTAAACAGGAATATTGGGCCTTGATTCTGGGTCGCCTAGTGACAGATCAGATACCTGTGAGGATGCTCTGGTCCACACGCAGCGTGGTGGACTTTATTGACGTCACTCTGATGTCAGCAGGCACCTTGTCACCAACTGATGAGAAAAGGAAAATACATATGGGAACCAAAAAAAAAAATTAATTTAGGGCCCAAAGTGGAGTGCAGGTTTTTTTTCACCTGCTTATTTAGCTTACTTTGGAAAACAGACCAATATAAAAGACTGTTTAAGTGCCATTTGACCTCAACAATCAGAGAGTATTAACCACCAGAAATGAAAACTGCAAACAGGAGCTGCAAGAAATGTTTAAGATGAGATGCAAAGACAAGTTAACCTGAAATTAATTCACTAACTAAATGACGATTCGTTGGTGACTTCGAGGAAACTCTGCACTTTGAGAAATTCCAAATGTTAACCAGGTAGTCTTTTTTTTTTTTTTAAACTATCATCTTTTGTTTGGCATGTCAGCACTTTTAATATGTCGTCATATTCTTTTCATCTCACACACAGAAAAACTGAGCAGAAATGATCATTATCCACCTTTAAACTAGGCCCATCAATTCGTTTTTTTTTTTTTCAATAAGTGAAAACAGCCGGTAGAAAAGTCACGACAATCTCTGAAGTTTCAACAGAGGTGTAGAAAATGGCTCGAGTACTTTCAACCCAATCAGCCCACAAATGTGGGCTGGGACTGAGCCAGAAGCGCCACACGGCTAATATTGGGTGAAAGTTTTATTTCATTCTCACCACAAATGTCAACCAATAAAGAAACAATGCGCACTTCTAATGAGTTTTCTCTTTGTTCTGCGTGCCTCTAACTGTGGCTGCAGCTGACCACTCAGGTCCTCCCTATCAAATGTCAGTGTTCCCGCAGTAAATCCATGAGCAAAGAAGCATCAGTGGTTTTAGTCCAGGCTCAAGCTGCAGGAGCAGGTAAACAACAGCTCGATACAACCTTGATGGAGTCACGATGCAGTTTCTAAACGATCGATAAGCTCCCTTCCTTTTTGTCGTCCTCACTCTCTGCATCGCGTTGAATCCTCCTGCCACAACACTTCCTCACACGTCAGAAAGAAGTCAGAAACTACAGATGAGGCCTCAGTCCGCTTATCAAAGAGGAAAAATAAAGTCATAGTTCTTATGGGCACTAAGTCTCTAACGCCCGCATTTTTCAGAGTCTGATAATGAACAATAACATTTTTGTAATAAAACAGAGCAGGTGCTGTCTGTGGATCTTCTCAATACTTTGCATAGTTTCCTGTTAATATCACGGAAGAGTTTTCAGGATTGAGTTTCTAAAACAAAACCATCCAGTCCTGCAGTTTCAACCACTGGCTTACTAAAAGAAGCTCAACATGTGGGGCATCACCAGAAAAAAAAGCACCAACGACAGCTCTGCTCAGTTGTCTCTGAGCATTTCTTTCTTCCTCTCCATCTTTTCCTGTACCATCTCATCATTTGGCATTTGCCTGACGCCTGGAGACCGGAGGGAACATTTTCAAGGTCCTTCTCCTGACAGGACAGAGCTCCAAGCTCGAAAAACCTCTTTTTCCGTTTCCGTACTTTTTTCTTTTAGCTTTCTGTTCACCATCTCTGGGCTTTGGAGAGAAACAGAGTGGGAGAGGAGTGTGTGTTGTGTTTGAGTGGGAGACGGCTGGGGGCTACAGGTTCCCTGTAGAAGGACTGGCCGAGGGCAGAAAAGAGAAGCTTTCAAACGCCTACCCGCAGACTCCTGCGCCTCGTCCTGCGGCAGCCTCCTACATTGGCTCTTCATGTGCTCAAACACAGATTTAGTGCTAATAAAGATGCTGACTTTTGAATTCTCTCACCATCAACCATTTGCTGGGTTGCAAAACAGATTTTCAAATGAACTCCAACTAACTTTAAATGCAATCTGCGTGTATCTGGCAAACATTTGGTCAAACTTTGGCGAAATCTGTCTGTCTTGCATAACAGAGTGGAGCCGGTAGGCTCCTTTGTGTGGAGGGAAATCATGACTTGATTCCGGGAATGGCTCATTGCAGGCTTCCCTCTCTTTCGGGTCCTGTGTAAACCCTCTGGTAGCTCCTGACAACCTGACCACCGCAGTCAAGCCATTCAAGAAAACAGAGGAAAGTTCCAGTGGAGGCGCAAATCACTACCGAGTCGTAAACGTGGCTGGCATCGCCGGCAGCGCTGGTGGAAAGTCATCAGTGCTCTTTTCTCCTCAAAGGCCCTCGTGGTCGACGGCATCCGTTTCCAATACCTGTGTGCAGTTTATTCTACTCGCAGGCACTGAGCTCCCCCAGAACACCCACCGGCTGATCTGCAGTGCAGGGAAGCGCGGGGAATCAATGGGATAATAATGTGTTTTCTTTGTCATCGTATCCCTACACGTCTCAGTAGGAGGGGTGAGCTGGAAGATGCTTTACAGGCATTTGTTTTTTCTAAGGGAGAAGAGGGTTTTAGCTGTTTATCCCTGTTTAAAAATGCTTAGCAACAGCATTATGTCAGACTGTGAGGAGTTCACGCGTGCTTTGAAGGTAAGCCCTCACAATACTTCAGACAAACAGGATTGTAAGCCTGGGCTGGCACCTTCCCAAAAGCAGACACAAATCTATTTACTTTACAAAGACTAAATGCAACTAAATAACTGGTTTCAATCTGGAAAACTAGGACCGAAAGGCTGAAAATAGGTGATGTCACTCCCCACAGGCTCCAAACTAGTTTGACATAAACTCAAAAGCTCTAAATGGGGTTTACTGGTTATCTATTTAGGGAAAAGCTCAGTGGAAAGAGTGAGGATGAAAATGGAGTTTGTTTTAAAACCATTTTTATTCTATTGCACCTACTTAAAGTGCAGAACCCTAAAAAGTCGTGGGATGCCACTTCTCCACCTAAGCTGCAGCTGTTCATAAGCAGCAATCACATCCAGCAGCAGATGGTTCGCTTCCAAGTCGCCCCAAAAAACTCCTTCTGAGCCTCGATGCCACAGAGACGTGCCAAATGGAGCAGGTACCGTTGTCAAGGAGACGCAACCTGTTTTGACAGCGACTGTGATGGAGGTGGTGGCTTGGGGGGGGGGGGGGGGGTTGAGCGGAGTCATGGTGTTGCACACTACCTGTGTGAACATGTCCCTCCATGACTCTGTGTGCTGGCTGTAACAAGCCCGAATTCCAAGTAGGCGCTATACGCAAGAGAAACAACATCCGATATAGGCATTCACCTGAACAGATGATGCTCCGAAAATCTGATTAAATCTGGTGAACTACCCGTCTGCTGGGTGGTCATTGTTTGATATTCACTGAGAGTAAAGCTTCTCTGTATGCGTGGGGCCCCCCTTCTTTGCTTCTCTTGGGATTAGAAACGATCGATGGCTGTGATCTCTACCAGAAACGCACACCGTGCACGCTCCCTCCCCTCCCACCCTCCCACCCACCTCCCAGCCCTCCGAGATGAACGGGCTACCTCGCAAAAACCCGGGATTACTCTCCCGAAGCCATGTTGACGGTGATGTGATCTCCTTGGGGCTCCGTGTGTGTCTGGCATGCACAGATGTTCTGGAGCCAGAGTGACAACAAGACTATTTTTAGCCTAGGCAGCCCACACATGGGCGAGTTTACAGCAGGAGAACTGTCTGCATGTGCATGTGCGTGGGGGGGGGTTTAGAGGGGTGTGAGCGAGGAGTTGACAAACATCCAGCAGCGTCCAGGTGGTGAGGTTGAGAGCATGGAAAGCAAAGGAAAGGGGGAAGCAGAGGAAAATTATACTGAGCCGTTATTACCACCCGTGACCACAGGAACGTGGTCTCACACACACTAACGGACACAACCGAAAACCTGCTCTGGCACCTGCACATACACAGAAAAGACTCTTATGTAATCTAGTTTGAGATGTTCCACTAGTGTTTCCAAACGCATGAATGAGTGGAAAAGGCTGAGTGAGTGCGTTTCTGTGGCAGAGGGAGCAGCCGGATGACCACAGTGAGCCCGCTCAGCGGGTCACCAAAGCACACAACCGCTCTGGTCCGGTCAGGCCAGCTAACCTGCCACCTCCACGATGTCCCCGGGGACGATGTCCCGGGCTTTGATCCTCTGGACAGCCTTGCGGTTCATGCGGTACACCTTCCCCATCTCCGGTTCGTACTCTTTCAGAGCCTCGATAGCATTCTCTGCATTACGCTCCTGTGTAGAGAAAAGAAGAAAGACATGTTAAAGACCATTTGAAATTTATGATCAGACCGATGTCTTTTTTTACAGTTTACAGAAGCATGAAAATATGCCGTGCAAGCAGAGTTGTTTTTAAAAGTAAGATGATCTAAAATTCTCCATCATCCAGGTGTGGCAGTTCAGTCAGACATACTTAAAGGTCAGTGAATTCTTCTTTAAAAAAACATTTGTATACATTTTACATAAAGACAAAGCAAAGTCAGCTGATCTCACCTGCCAGACTCCAATAACGGCGTTGGCAATGAGGATAAGAAGAATGACAATAGGCTCCACGAAGGCGGTGGTTGTCTCCTCTCCCTCTTCAAACAGAGCCAACACCTAGATGGAAGTACGCAAGGTAAATATTACCTTATCCAACATATTACAAATACACTTTCCCTCTGACCCAAAACACTGGGAGGAGGAATAATTTTCAGTGGAAAAACAACTTTTGAAGGAATGTTTTTTTCTGCGGAACAGCAGTTCGTCTGAGGTCCACAGGCTGTGTATTGTTTAGCATTCAACCTTTTCTGCCTGGTGTCAAACAGAGAGCCAATACTGCTGATGTCTGTGACAGCTTCTCACATCCAAAGGGCTCATCTTCCCTTGTTCTTTCAAGAAAGCCTGTCAAATACAAATTCATTTGACTCACCACTGAGTTGCCGTTAGCTTATTATTTCAACCACTAGACCATTTGATCACTAGTACGATGATATACAAGTGTGCTATCTGTGAGTGAGCTCACAACCAGAGAATCTTTTAATCTTTTAAAAGAAGAAAAAAAAGCTTAATATGCTTAGCTTTTCTAAGCAGATTCTTTTTTTCTGTACAAGAATGTAAAAAAAAAGACACGATGGAGGATTAAAGGGGAAAAAAACTCAAAACACTCATGTGATTTTCAGAGAATGTTATTGTTAGGTTGCCTGGACCACAAAGACCATGCCTAAACTGACAATAAAAAATCATTAAATCTAGCAGAAAATGACATCACCAGGCAAATAAAAACCAGTTGAGGTAGACTTAATGGTTTGGCTTTTTTTCTTAACTCACTCGTCAACGCTCAGCTTTGCATGAACACATGTCAAAATACTGCGTGAATCCTTCTCACTCAAGCATGTGGATGGTAGTAAAATAACATATATTACGATTGTCTAAAAGTAGCAAAAGATTGCAGGATGCCTAAGAATATTAAATGATGAGGCAGTGAGATGAGACCGATGCAATTTCAGAGGAAATTATGAGCTAATATGCATTTGAGGTGGGAAATCCCAGTTCAATATTTCTAAATATTCATAATTAATTCCTAAATGGACTTTGACTACAGTACAGTTAATATACAATAAAACCTTTTACAAAAAGCAATAAAAAAAAGTCAAACATTTAAAAAAAAAAAAAAAAAAATTTTTTTTCATGCTTGTGACTTCTGCTCACAAAACTCATCCCTGTGAGAGGGTTAGAGTCCTGTAAAGTCTGTACTTGAAATAGCACTTTCTCCAGTAAAGCCCATGTGGCTGTGACCGGTGAAGGAATTTAACCTTTTTTTTGTCTTTACTCTGCATTACTTTTATTGAACCCCCAATGCACACAGAATGCCTTTAGAGAGGAACAATGACTGTAGTCGTAATATTACATTCACACATGACACAAATGCGTTGCAACACAAGACAAACACCACCTTCCTTTCCACATGAGTAAAGTAGCTGTAGCTCATAAATGCTCCAAAATGGCCTGAACCTACCTTCTAACTTTACTTGCATTAAACCACTATGAGCTGTGGCTAAAAAAAAAGAAGCTGTTGAGGGAATGTAGAGCTCAGAACAGAGCAGGCTGGTAATTCATTGTGAGTTTGTTGCTACGAGCAACCCCCTGGCAAAGACAGAATATATATGATGTAAAGCTAAGACTCAACAAGAATGCTGCTGCCCAAAACAAACATTCCAACACTACCAAATAGTTTTTAAATCAGAATTTTCTTAATCTCATACATGCTGATTTTCAAAAATATTTGTATGCTGTGCCTGCATCCGTTGTTGCTATATATGGTTTGATAACAGGTGGATTCACTCAGCATATTGAAAACAGGGGAAAAGGCTTTAGACTTAGAAATAAGTCCTCTTCATTACATCAATAATCAGATGCAGATTTGAAAACGACTGCATCAGGAGAACAGTTCTGTGACGAAGGGGGGGAAAGTGAAACTGCACTGGACTTATGAGATGGGCCGCATCAAATGACAGCCCAGTATATTCTCCATGGAGTATCGAGCAGCAGAGAATCCGTCACGGCAGCCTGAACATGGCTGATAGCTCATCATTCCCGCTCATTTGGGGAGGTAAATCTCCCTTCTGACCGAGTTGAGGCTGCAGAGCAACAATAGCGGCCCTCTCAGTAAAGACGGCTAAAAAAAAAAAAAAAGACACTTCAAACAATCAGCCCACAGTCAGAGAGCGGCTTGAATGCCCAACTCCTACTTTTCTCACTTTCCCCAGAGTTCAAACTGAATGCAGAGTAGGATTTCCTTTTGTGTTTTGTTCATTTACTGAGAAAAGTTGCTTCAAATGCGGTTATTTGCATTCGGAAATCTAAGCCAAAGCAAAGCTTTAGAAAAAGGACTGAATATTAAAAATCAAACATTAACACCTGATATACACACAACTAAAAGAGGACAGATGGAACAGAATATCTCAACATCTACAGTTTAACAGCCCCTGCAACGCAGCAACAACAACAAAAAAAACCTTCATCTCGAACAGATAAAGAAAAAAACAGATGGTCAATTGTAATCTTTATGTGTCATTTTATTCTCTATTAACCCAACCTGACACACTGAGGAAGTGCTCTAATTCTACAGATGGCTGTGGTGGCTTTAAAAAAAATGCAGAGGCTCACAATGAGCAGTCGAATGAAGACAAAGGATCAACTTGAGAACAACTAAAGTTTTAGCAACAAATCATCTCAGAACTGAGGCCCATTTTCTCCCCGCATGCCCGTGCATCAAAGTGGCCTGACTTGTCCCTTTTCCGCCTTTTGATATTCACTGATGAACGTCACTGTTGTGTCATGCAAATGCAGCTGGAGAGTCTAATAATCTCATTTTGAATATATTCAAAATCACAACCAAATGAGTCTAAGGTTGGGGCTTAATTTGAGCTCGGCTCTGCTCCTCTTTCGCCGCTTCCTGATTACAGTGAACACACACTCAACTGTCAACTGAGACAAAAAAAATGGACTAAAAGTCATTTTTCAACATTCAAACTTTGAAACGGTGACCCTGAAGCAGCGAGGCCTGTGCTGCAGTCCGACTGGGGCTGTTTTCAACCACAAACAGGGAGAAAAAAACTGTGAGAGCCTCTAACTGACAGGGTCCCTCACATATATCTGGTGTCATGAACATTTTTAGAGCCATTTTCCAGCCTCCAAAAAATAGCAACAGCAATTTCATCCCAAGATGGCGGGGAAGTGCTGCAATAGACGGAAAAAAAAAAAAACGTTTTTCTGCCGGCAGGGTTCCCTGACTCCACCCCTCTGCGACCTTCTCCACCCTGACGCTGCCACCAGGATCCCAGTTTGGAGCGCCACCGCCGAGTTTTGATTGATAGTTTTGTTTCCAGTTGGGCAGGAGTGCTGTGCTTGTTCCTAACACAGAAGTCACATCAACACTGGGTGGAAAAGTCAGTATTATACAATTTTCCACATGAGAGAGGACCGTTATCATGGCTGACCAGACATTTAACAGGGGGATAAGCCTGCATAAGACTGGTAGAACAGTCTAATCTAGTTTGCAATTTCCTACTCATTGTCCAATTAGGGTCTAAATCCCACTGGGTTACATTTAAGAATCAAGACGGAGAACAAATTGAGGAGAGCCACTGGCATTTTAATTAGCCGGTTTGTACTCACAAAGGAGACACACGCAGCTAGCAGCAGGATCCTGACCAGGAGGTCTTCAAATTGCTCCACCACCAGCTCCCACAGGGACTTGCCTGAAAAATGCAAACACAATTCACATCACACGTGATGCATTGTTGGATTATTCAGCACAGAGGGGACCTGACACGTGTTGACATTAGCTCTGGCAGCGATAAAAAAAAGCTGTAAAGTAAGACCATTGGTGTATTTACACAGAGCTAGGGTTGTGTGTTCATGGGTGGAGAAGCGCTGTCAGGTATAATCTTAAAGTTTACCCCTCAGTCTATATAAAAGAGATTATCAAGACATTGATGGGGCAGTGAAGGAAATAGAGAGAAAAGGTATATATTTACCTTCTTCGGCTGGAAGCTCTGGTGACATCACACCATGCCGGAGGCAGAGGAGCGACCAGGGTGAACCCGGAGAGAAGGTGGAAAGGGGCGGGGCAGAAAAAGAAAGAGCAGTTAATGCACTCGATTAGGTCAGAGCTCCTCAAATATGCATGGACACGGGCACGTCGCTCTGAGGAATCACTCCGGCCCGTTAGGACAAAACACTCGGTAATTTTCTACTTTAAAAAGCGTCGCCGTTTCATGTCTCTGTGCAAGGAAGAGAAAGAGAAAAAAAAAAAAGGAGACAACAGTTACACACTTGCACGTTCTGCTGTGCTAAACTGTATTAGCCCCACTTTTGAACAACCCCACAGAATGCAAACACACAGCTCTTTTTTTCTACAACATTGTGTACATTTTTTAAGTCGGCAATTTCATAGGATGCTTTTTTTTTTCTTCTCCCCCCTTTTTGGCGCTCTGAAACAAGCTGAGCATCTTACCCCCGCCTGTTTGACAACCAGAACACAACACCCACCACACACATTAGTCACTGGTGTGAATAGAAAACACATCAGTCACGCTCCGAAATCATTCCAATTGACAAGTACTGTTGATCAGAGAGGCTGAGGCGTGCTGAGTCACTGCGTTTGTCAGGTCCTCGTCAAGCCCGACGCACACAACGCAACAAACCACCTCCATCACATCTGATGAATGTGCTAAGTGTTGACGAGCATCATCCCATTGGCTCGATTTCAGCCAGACTTTGAGTTTTTTTTGGTCAACTCTAAGCCAGATAATTAGGATTAAAACCCTGCCCTGCAAGAATGGTCTTTGTTTATTTAAAGTAAGTGAAACCTTGAATTAAAGCATTCATTACCAACTGGAGGAAAGCGGCTATATTTAGAGGGCGGTGGGCCGGAGCGCGGAATGACAGCAATATTCTGCCCGGTGCAGTGGAAACCTCGTGTTTCTCTGCATGTTTTGACCACACCGCGCAGCACGAGTAACAAACGTGACCCTGTGCGGAGAGCGGGGCTGGAAAGAGGAAAGCCCATGACGTCGGCCCAGAGCCTCCCTCCAAAAACAAACGTCTCAGTTACTCCCGAGTCACCGCGGCTCGATGTGGGTAAAGGTTTGAAAGTGTAATGATGTTTTTACTCTCTGGAGCAAAATTGTTCTGAGCCAGGGATCTCACACTCGGGTCCTGAGGGGTCGCCGTCCTGCAGGTTTGAGATGTTTCCCTGCTTTCTGCTTCGAATCAATGCACCACTGGCAGACCTGTGAAGAACTTCACAATCTGTGGAAGAGTTCCAGTCAGTGATAATCAGGTGTGTTGAAGCAGGGAGACATCTCAAAGCTGCGGGAGTTTGAGATCCTAGCAAGCGATGGATGCAGGAGTGCAAACAGCCTTCACTACGCATCAAAGTTCAGCTCTAGGACTCGGAAAAAGCCCCAAAGTAAATCTGCTCCTGATCTCCTGAATGATCAACTCTGCATAATGTGTGAGAAAACAACCTCCGTGTGTGTGTGGAGGTTGTGGCTGGGCTCGGCAGCAGGTCCCCCTCAGCCGGTGTAATAATAGCCGGTGACTCATTGCCAACGGCTCCTCAAACTTTGCTGTCTGGAGGGTTTTCAGAGTTCAGATTGGACACGGTTGAACTCGCAGGGGAACGTATGGCCGCAGCCTGCCAGCAGCAGCTGAAATGTGGAGAAGTGGGTTTTGCTGTTTTCCAGTCTGACATAAGCCTGCCCCCCCCCCAAATCCCCCCCATTACTGAGCCTCCATGGTTGTATAATGATTTTATGGCAGGCATGGCTGGCTACAGCCCGACGTCCGGAGACAAAGAGGGACTGACTGGAGGGGCCAGACAGACAGGAGGGTAAGGGAAGGGGGGTGGGTACAGAGAGGGGGGGCTGGAGGTGCTGAGCGGGGTTCCCCAGCCTCCCCCAGCCAAGGATTCCCTCCCAGTCATCTGGGCTGTGCCGACCAGAGGCTTGCCCAGGCACATTCCTGAACACTGACTTCACCTCTCACTATCCATGTCCCCACAGCACCTCCTCCCCCCTCCTCCCTCGCAGCCCAGACAATGAATAAAAGAGCCTGTTTACGTACAGCAGAAAAAGAAGGAAAAAAAAAAAAAGAAAAAAATCGAGAAGAGCCAATCTGAGGGGAGACACTTCCTGGAGACGGTTGCCAACAACAGCAACACGCAGATGAATTCTGCGTCCCGACAGTCAGGAAGCGCAGCAGGAAACTGTCCATCAGTGGACTCAAGCTGCACACCGCCCGCTGATAATAGCACCTTTCAGGGCAACGTCTTTCCCGTCCCTTCTACACTCCCTGAATCTATTAAAGAAAAAGCAACATCACAGAGCATTAGGACGGGTCGGCTAACATCCCGTCTGAGTAGTTTTTTAAAGTTCAGGCTGTGTTGTGAAAACTACAAACACCAGAGAGGTTCCAGTCGACAGAACTATCGGAGGAAACTTGAAAACAGTTTGTTTGTCAAACTTTACCAAGATTGAGCATTATACATTTGATTCAGCACGCTTCCGACCACAGGGCATGAACACCCCACACACACACTCATGTGGATGAGCTCATTCCTGTCATCCACGTTCTGCTAAGACACACACTCGTGCAGACACACACTTATGCAGACACACACTCTCCGGCATGTGTAGCTGGCTCACAGTGATCACAGTAGGTGTGTTGGGAGGCAGAGGGGGAAGCTAAGATTTGTGCTCTAGGACCCTCCACTAACCCAGAGAACGTAAAGCAGGCCTATAAATGCCATGAAGGAAACCCCTAAAAATAGCTTCCTATATCCACTCAATTTCCTAATGCATTCTCCCACTGGAAAAGGTCTGAATGCATTAACCGTATGAAATGTGAATGATAAATGTACATCAATCGTTGCCCTAATATCATTATCTCTTGCCCCATAGATTACAGGGCAGGGAGCTGCAGAAGGGAAGTCTGGTGAAGTCAGACTTGCCTTATTTCACACCGGCACCAAACGGCTGACACACAGGACTAGTCAGAATGCAAACAAATAACAGAAAGCTGTAATAAAATAGTTAACTCAACAGATCACTTTAATGATCAAAGATCAGTTCAGAAGTCTTATGGTTTAGCAAAGACGGGAATTATATTTTCACAATTAGTGGCCCAGTGGAATTAAAATCTCAAATTAGCTCAAAATGTCCCCTTCTGCGGAATAAAAAAAACTTGAAAACTATGAGAGCTGCTGGGGGCTGAATAAATAATAATAACAGCTACAGAAAGAGTCAGAATGTCCTGCTCCCTCTCTGCACCACATATAACAAAGCACACCACCATAACAGATTCTAAAGAGGCTCTGGGTGCAGCAAAGAAAGAGGAAGCAAAAGCAGAACTTTCAGCGTATTGTTTAACAGGCTGTATATTTGCATCCCTCCTGTGGGGGTGCCATGATGCGCCTTCAGTACCGCCATCATTTAATATATCAAAGAAATGATCAAAGTCTACAGGCAGGGCTTTGTAAAACTAAAACCAATAATATGTTTGAGATGGAAATTAAGACATTAATCAGATCAGACAGAAAAAAAAAACTAAAATGAAGACCAAAAGTTTCCAAACCTCATGCACAACTTGTGTCACTTCATTCTGGCGTTTCTTGGTTAGCTGATCAACCTGTTATGTCGTGCACTCATAAATCAAGCTGAACACCAAGAGGACAGAAAAGTTGCACCACAGAGGGTTAAGGGATGACTCATTTCTGAAAGGGAATTACTTTGAAAAGGGGGAGATTTTGATCTCTGCCATACCAAAAGAAAGTAAAGGACACGCTGTTTGGCTGGACTGTCACCCTGAAAGAGGGTATTTTTTCCTTTGGCATTTGCAAAGAATGATGCAGCAAAACGCAGCATTTCCCCTCACATTTGACTCTGAAATGCAGCTGGAACCATCTGAATGGATAATTATGACACACTTCACAGAATTAAAGAAACTAGTTGTTTAAAATTAATTTGAAATTGCACAGAGCACTGTTAAACTGATCAGATGAGTTTATGTACACAGAAATCTGCTCTCTGACAGCCCATATACTGCTCCCTGCACATTATATTCGGGTTTAAATAAACTCAAAAACACACAGAAAACCAACATCATGCCAACCAGTGTGAGCTGAAGAGGAAAAGGCCCTGTCAACCAAGCAGGACAGGCACGAGATGATTAGCACAGGGCTGGTATCTTGTCATGCCTCAGAGCTTCCTCATTGAGGTCACAGTGGTACACAGAGATGCTTTTTCAACATCTGAACAGGGGAGAAGGATGCCTGGTAGCCAACTGGAGTAACTGAAAAACACTCAGCAATTCCCGAGACAACGGGCTGAAATATCTATGTTAACGCCCAGCTATTTATGGGGTTTATTCTAGGTTTAAAAACCAGAGCGGCTGTTCGATCCAATCAAAAGACGGGCGCAGTGCAACTTTACTGACACCAGCCCAGAGGCAGTTGTCTGAAACCTGATGGCTTGATCCAACAAGGAAGCTTGTACCTGAACGCACCACTTTGCATTCACCACAACTCCGAGCAGCAGATCTCTCACGTCCATCCAAAAGACACACGGTTCCACACATCTGAGCGGACCAGACCTCGCTAGTGACTCAACCCCTCAACGGGGAGGCCGTGACGATGACGGACAGCTGCAGAAGTGGGAGGGAAGAAGGCGAGTGACAAGCTGCAACAGGATGGCAGCTCCTTTAAAGGCAGCCCCACAGGCACACTGACGGCCCCCCACCAGAGCAGGGAAGTGACTCAACGCGCCTCAGGACCTCCAATTACTCCTCAACAATCTTAGGTCTCATTTCAAAGCCCACGAGGTGCCAACGGTTGGCGTTTACAGTAGCTCTCAGCTGGACGGTGCGCAGATGAATGGAGGCCGACAACCCCTGACAGAGGGGCGCTCTGCAGCGTGCACTCGTGCGGCCGTGGAGGAGGAGGAGGAGGAGGAGGAGGAGCCGGAAACGTCTCATCAGATTTCAAACTCAGAACAAGAAAGTTAGGGCGCTTTTACGTCAGGCTGCAAACAGGAAGCCAAGCAGCACCTTGTAAGAGATCACTGGGGAGGAAGTTGTAAGCCAGAGCAGTGTATAATGATTTTAAAGTGAGAGATATGAACAGGGACAGAACTAATGATCCCAGTCAGAAACATCCACCTCTGTTAAGGTTCATCGTGCATCCAGTTTTTGAGGGCAAAACCCCAGTTAAAGAATTTTATCAGTGGAAAAAGACCTAAATTCTGTTCAGTTAAAGGTACTTGAACACCTGCCAACAGATCAAAAGTGATTATTTGCTTGTAGTTTTGGCTGCTAGCAGCCCTGTTGGACATGGCCGAAAGAATTTCCTCCAGACTGAGAGTCGACAAGCGGATGACCGCACGCCGTATCCCGATGGAGCCCCGACACGCAGGCCAACCTGGAGGGTCGTGCAATGCTCCTCCTTCTACTTGTGGATTGTCCAGCAGCAAATTCACACTCTACACTCGTCTCTTGAAGCTCCACAGCCGGGCAAAGAATTTCTAAAGAAGCAACACTTAGTTCCATAATGACATCAGAAGCTGTGATGCAGGAGCTTCTCTTCCACCCAGTTAAGCTAAAAATGAACTGCAAACGTCTCTTTGTTTGAGTTCCTTCTTTCACCTTAGAGATCAGGGTTGTGCGTGCACAGGACACAACCGCCAAGCAGCGCACGCTGTGGGGGCGCCGAGCTCCTTCCTGCCCCCCCGAACACTGAGACTCGGCACAAGCGAGCGGTGGACTTCCTCTCCTCACCACCAGCCCTTTCACAGTGAAGGCGGCACACTGTCCTGTCAAAAGAGGCGCTAGCAGCCTTTGGCGGCACATCAGCTAAGCACCGCACGCCTCTGCGGGCCAGGAAGAAGCGCCCGGAACGGGGATGTGTGGCCGGCCGGCCACCCCCCCCCCCCTGCACCACAGGCTGCAGCGCACACAGGGCTGTCCAGATGTGGCGGCCAGGCTCATTTTCCAGAGAGGGACCACAAACCGGGGGAGGGGTTACATAAAGCCATGAAGTCATTCACCTGCGTTTGATAGGGCATTAAATACTAAAGTAGTTCATCCACTCTTTCAGAATGGAAAATCCTCCCAAGCCTCAGTGGTGTCTCCCAGTAATTGAACTCCACTTCAGCTATCAAAGTAACGAGTCAAGACACACTCATCATGCCACAGGGCGACGGTCAACAGCCAGAGATGGTTCTGGACAAACAGCTGTGGGGGACACTCCCCATTCAGCCCAGAAATCCAGAGGCAGAGAGTAGAAGCTCTCACTGCAGGCGGATCTCGCCGTTTTCATCCCCTCCTTTTTTCAGACTGAGCTCAAAAGGGGATCTGATTTGTGGACCTGCTCCGGGTTAATGATTCTGCTAGTAATAAGATCCCGCTAACTAGCCGGTGCGCTCGGGGCACGGTCAGCAGCCCGCTCACAGACCGCTCTGAACAGATGCTCCACTGGAACAAAAACACAGACGCTCACGTGGAGTGGGCCGAGCCTCTCGCCTCAAATCCAAACTAACACACACCCCGAGCCTATTCCATGCCGTTTTGCCCGAGTATCTAACGCTGCGTGGAGCAGAAGCGGATTACCCACAGAGGGCCGAATGGCCAGAAGCAAAAGGGTATTCCCTCCCTCCACCATTTGTCTGCTACGCACTCTCTCGCAAGGCAGGAAGTTCACAGCTAAAAGCGAAAGAGATGCTATCTGTGGCAAGACGTTGCTTTCTTTCCATGAAGTCATCACGAGCCCCCGGCTAGAGCGGCCGGCCTGCAACAAAAGGGCCACTGTTGGGCTCCGCCGCCCGGCCGCATGGAAATGACAGGCCGGCGGCCAAAGGTGTGCCGATGTCAGGTTTGAGTTAAGCATGAACAAAAGAAAAAAGCCACCTCTCAGACACCGGCATGAGACTCAGGAGGAGGGAGGCTGCGTGCGACAGCCGCCACAGGAACCACAGCGACAAGCAGCACACACACACACACACTCGCACAACATCTTTAGTCAAAGTTAGGGCCATGACAGCCGTTTAGTGATCTTTATCACTCCAAATCAGCCATCTGAAATGTTTCAACCTGTGCTGTCTGGTAATGTGAGCTGGGCTGTAAAGCATGGGTCATGGGAAGGTGCTGAAAGTCAGAACTGGTTGTTCAAGATATGCTTTTTCATTATTTTTTATGGCTCCATCGTCTTACAACCCTAGTGGTTGGAGTCTGACTGCTCTTCACTTCCTGATCCCTACATGTTGGTCTGGACGTCAGCTGCGTGCACTATCACTTCTCGGTCGGGGAGGGTTTGTTTGTCCCCCGTTCAGCTTCTCTGCTTCTGCTCTCAGCAGCGTGACATGTCCTCAAACCTTACTTGACATGTGGCCTCCTCGGGGGGCGCCGAATGAACCAAAATAGACCAAATACTGCAGTGGATCAGAGTCGATTTCTCGTCCAGATGTGTTATTAGGTGTTGAGAACTTCTGAATGGTCTCAGTACAGGCATGCACATCGTTATTGTATCACTTACATTTCCAGTTTCCGCGCGCCAGAGGGGGAGAGCACGGGGCTGTTTTTTTACGCGCAGGACTTGCCTGAGCTTGAAATGTAACGGTTGTGAGGGATTTCCTGGCAAGTGAGCCAACACGGGCTACACTGCGCCCTCCGAAACCAACCAACAGAGGAGTAAAAGCGAAGAAAAAAAAAAGCGTCTGAAAACTACTCACCGTTCGGTCCATATTTCTCGCAATTGACTTTGACCTGTTCCAGAGTCAGCCCGGTGTTCTCGTTCACGCCGAAGTTGTCCAAAACTTCGGTGGCGGACTTGGTATGCGCGCTCTCCATCTCGGCGACGGGGACTTTAGAGGAGCAGATCGGAGTGCGTGTAGTTGAGCAACATCTATTGTGGCAGTCGAAAGGTGCGCGGGTGGAGAGAGAGGAGAGGAGAGGGGGGGGGGGGTGGCGGTGGGGGGGGGTGGAGGGTGGCTGCTTTAAACGGCGGTAATTTCCTCTGCCGGTCGTTGGAGCGGTCGGTGCCGGTGTGCCACCTGTCCCCCCTGAAGAAGGAGTCCTGAGCTGTTCTGTCCTGTGCTGGGCTGGGTGGCTGTGTCTGTGGCTGTGGCTGCTGCTAGTGCATCTCCATGTGAAGGTGTGCTGCGCCTGTGCGCCGCAGACCGCCTCTTGGCCGTTGAGCACTGCCTCCTGCGCGCCCATTGGCTGCGCCTACCTGCGCGCAGGGGGGCCCGCTGCTTCCTCTCAGTCAGCCCCCCCCCCCTCCAGCGAGAGACGTCGACGGCGTGGCGTGGCGTGGGTTCAGGTTAATGGCACGCAGATAAGGCTGACGTATTTGTGAAACGGGAACGGTTTGGTTCGGTTCTGGCTGCAGCCTCGCTGCGCTCCCGGGGAGCAGGAGAGCTCAGCTCGCAGAGTCTGTCCTGTTCACGAGGCGGGCTCATCTAAATCATCTAAAAACTTTTAAACCGTTGATTTATTCGATGTATAAATGAATGTCTCCGATGGTGTAGGGCCGAAATATCAGAGAGGCTGGGACTGAGTCTGTTGGGTTAGGTCCGTCCACTCAGAGTCTGTGAGGTGTTTGGTTAGTTCCTTTAACTGTAGAACTGTAGGAGGCCATTCCCTCACTTTTAGCAAATACAGAACCACAGGAAGTGTGAAAATTCATGGCCTGTAGAATGATACTTTCAGCTTCAGGCTTAGTTTCACAGCAGTACAGAAACTCTATGCAAAATATTTATGGTAGCTAACTGGTTAAATAGAACCACACTTACAAATATCCCATGCAAAAACTAAAAGTGGGGAAATGGTAAATTATTCCCTCCAAACAAAAACCTGATTTGAAAAATATTTTAGTCTGATTTCAGACCCTTTTTTGATGGATTTGGATGGATCTGTAAATCATGAAAACGTTGTTGTGGTTCAAAATCCCTCATGTTGGGCATGAACATAAAGATGATTTTCTCACCAATGGATCATTTAGCAGAGGCATACATTTTACAATTGGCAACACAAATGCACACAAGACAAACAGACAAGGAAAGCATCAGGCTCTCAAAGGAGCTCACCAGTTTGGACTTAATGACATAGTAAATGGTTTTAAAACAGGAAAATCCCAATCAAAGAACAACCATTTATGAGCTGAAAAAAGCTGAGCGAATGCAGTTGGATCACATTGAGAGACGACAGCGGTGCTCTCCTGTCAGTGGAAAAGCGGGCTGGATGTTGAGCAGCACAATGGGAGCTAAACAGAACGTCTGAAACTCACAGCTGTGCTCTCTGTCCTTGTGATATTGCCAGCTCCCTCAGCAGATTTGGCAAGAATGTCCTTCTCTGGTCCTTTCTTGGAATCATCAGGTCCAAGGCTGAATACCAGCCAGTCCAAGCAGGTTTGGTACACGGCCTGAAATGTGAATTTGACAGTTCATTTTTAAATGTAAACTTATTTAAAAAATGAATTTCAACACCTCATGATAACATGTTCGAAATCAGGGTACAGAAAATATTAAATCAAATCCACAAATGTACTGCTAAAGCAGACATCTGTGAAATATTTGACCTCCTATTTAATATAAAATCGCCCTGCAGATATGGTTGCCTGGCATTATAGAGCAGATCCTGAACCCAAACCTTATAAGGAAGTTGTATTCTCATGTGATTAGAGGCATAAAAAAATCATAAAAGAATCCGTTTCTGGCAGAAAGGCTGAAGTTGAGGCTAATAAGCATCCCGTATTCACACCAGTGCTCCTGCTTTACTTTTGCTAAGCCTTTAAGCCCTCTTCTGCAGGTTGGTGCTACACAAACAGGCTGCCAAGAGGCCCCCTTCAGAATGCATCCCATCCTGAAACCGAGTGTCTTCCAGTAACTTTACTCTGACGCACTGTAATTAGCATCCTGCCACTTTCCTTTCTTTTTTTTCTGGTTGCAAAACCATAAACAAAGTTGGTTAAACTCATAAACCTTGCCGAGCATTAAAAAAAAGAATACACAATTAAGGCGACAAAACATGCAGTGCTGCTTTTTTTTAGAGTTGTGTTAGCTGGATTCTTGGGTTGCTGTAGCTGTGATGTATTTCGGTGGAACTGTGCATTTATGCCAAACTCATTATTTCTACTTTCCACAGGACTTTAAGCTGCTGATGAAACATGCGTGCACATATTCTGGCATCACTGCTGGTGCGCTGCCTGAAGAAGAAGTCCCAGGCTTCTCTACATGCTCAGAGAAGCATTATTTTAAAAGCTGTTCAGTGAGACCCTTCTGAGAGTTCAACATCCTGGAAAAATGTTGTTTCCTGGAAAACATTGAGGAGTGATATAACACAACATGAACAGAGGGAGGAGCTGAGAAGGACACCTATCCCAACTTTTTTTTAAAAATCAAAGATACATGGCAGCTGTTGGACACGGCCCTCAGAGCTTCAGTAGTGGGGGGGTGTCATTATGTTTGCTGATGCAGGGGAGGAAGTTAATGATTTTGCAGATTCTTTGTTACGGGCGGGGCAGAATCAGCCAACCAAACCCATGAAGGAAAACAGGTGCTC